TTTCAAAACTGACTTGCTTGCTAAAAAAAAAAAAAACAAGTTTTAAAAAAAGAAGTCAGGCCGGGTGCGGTGGCTCACGCCTGTAATCCCAGCACTTTGGGAGGCTGAGGCGGGTGCATCATGAGGTCAGGAGATCGAGACCATCCTGGCTAACACAGGGAAACCCCGTCTGTACTAAAAATACAAAAAATTAGCTGGGCGTGGTGGCGCATGCCTGTAATCCCAGCTACTTGTGAGGCTGAGGCAGGAGAATTGCTGAACCCAGGAGGCAGAGGTTGCGGTAAGCTGAGATCGTGCCATTGCACTCCAGCCTGGGCAACAAGAGTGAAACTCCAGCTCAAAAAAAAAGAGAAAAGTCATTCAAGCTCTATCTGAGATGTTAATTGCAGGCCCTGCAGCTGAGATTCTCCCTGCCCTGCTCTCCCACGTTCCCGAGCTCTCCCAGGGAAAGAAAGTTAAAACCCAGGTGGGACTGAACGGGACCCAGCAACAGGCGTACTGCTCTACAGGAGGGGGCATCCATCCCTGGCTCATGTCCCCACCCCTCCACCCCGGCAGGAGGAGGAGGACCCGCAGAGCCACTTTCACATGGACACCCTGCTGATGACTACACATAACCTGCTCTTTGGTGGCCCCGAGACGGTGGGCACCACACTGCGCCACGCCTTCCTGGCACTCATGAAGTACCCCAAAGTTCAAGGTGAGGCCCACCCACACAGCAGCGCAGAGGTGCCCATGTGTTGGAGCGTGGCCCCAGAGCAGGGAAGCATGACTCCGCTTCCAGCCCCGCCTTCTGGGTCTGATATAGCCTCCTGCTGATGCCAGGATTCCACAGCCAAACCCACACGGAGGCCGATCCCACCTGCAAGGCCCACGAGGTCCACGCAGCCTGCCCGAATCCCGACCCAGGTCCCACACACTTAGTTTTTTTTTGTTTGGTTTTGTTTTTTTGATATGGAGTCTCGCTCTGTCGCCCAGGCTGTAGTGCAGTGGTGCAATCTTGGCTCACTGCAACCTCTGCCTCCCAGGTTCAAGGGATTCTCCTGTCTCAGCCTCCCAAGTAGCTGGAATTACAGGTGCACGCCACCACACGCAGCTAATTTTTGTATTTTTAGTAGAGACAGGATTTCACCATGTTGGCCAGGCTGATCTCGAACTCCTGACCTCAGGTGATCCACCTGCCTCGGCCTCCCAAAGTGCTGGGATTACAGGTGTGAGCCACTGCTCCCGACTCTTCTTAGTTGTTTTTTTTTTTTTAAATATATATATATATATATTTAAGATGGAGTTTCTCCATGTTGGTCAGGCTGGTCTTGAAATCCCGACCTCATGTGATCCACCCGCCTTGGCCTCCAAAGTGCTTGGATTACAGGAGTGAGCTACCACGCCCAGCCTCTGCTTAGTTTTTTGTTTGTTGAGACAGAGTTGCTCTGTCGCCCAGGCTGGAGTACAGTGGCACAATCACGGCTCACTGCAGCCTCAACCTCGGGCTCAAGTGATCTTCCCACCTCAGCCTTATCAATAGCTGGAAGTACAGGCGTGCAACACCACACTCAACACACTCAGCTAATTTTTTTATTTTTTGTAGAGACAGGGTCTCGCTGTGTTGCCCTGGCTAGTCTCCAACTCCTGGGCTCAAGCAATCCTCTCCCTCAGCCTCCCAGAGTGCTAGAGTTACAGGTGTGAACCATTGCTCCGGCTTACACCCGCTTAGTCTTGCTTTGTGCCAATGGTGTCCACATCGCATGCGCCCGCCTCCAGCTTCAGAGCCCAGCTAACTGTCCTCCCAGAGCCCTGCCCTGGACCCCAAGCCACACGGCCCGCCAGGCAACCCTACCTCTCCCACAGCCTGACCCCCCACAAAGCTCTGTCTGCTACTCCACCTCCCCAAACTCCGCCTCTGGGTGTATGCTCTGCTATGCCCGTGATCTCCAGCCCTCCCGCACAGCCCACCCACTCAATCCACCGTCCAGCCAGTAGGGTCCCCGAAACTGCTCCTGAATTCCAGGCCTCCCTGAAGCCCCGCCCACACAACCCAACGCCCAGGTCCTTCCCTGCACAAGCCACCCTTTCGCCCTCACCTACCCGCTTCCTCCGAGGCTCTGGCTAATTCTTTTTTTATTTTTTCCGAGACGGAGTCTCGCTCTGTCGCCCAGGCTGGAGTGCAGTGGCACGATTTCAGCTCACTGCAACCTCTGCCTCCCGGATTCAGGCGATTCTCCTGACTCAGCCTCCCCAGTAGCTGGGACAACAGGCGCGTGCCACCACGCCCAGCTAAGTTTTGTATTTTGTTGTAGAGACGGGGTTTCTCCATGTTGCCCCGGTTGGTCTCAAACTCCTGGGCTCAAGCGATACGTCCCCCAAGTGCTGGTTTAACAGGCGTGGGCCACCGCCAGCCCAGCGCTAGCTAATTCTCACGCGCGCCCCAGCCGTGGCGCCCCGCGCTGGGAGGGTCTGACTAGACCCCTCCCCCCACACGCGCCCACCTCTTCCCAGCCTGGTCGACTCCACTTCCCCTCCCCCTCCAGCCCGCGTGCAGGAGGAGATCGACCTCGTGGTGGGACGCGCGCGGCTTCCGGCGCTGGAGGACCGCGCGGCCATGCCTTACACCGACGCAGTCATCCACGAGGTGCAGCGCTTTGCAGACAGCATCCCCGTGAACTTACCACACCGCGTCACTCGGGACACCGCCTTTCGCGGCTTCCTGATACCCGAGGCGGGATAGCCCTGGCAAACGACATCAGGCAACCTAAGAGGAGGCCTCGCAGGCTCTTGCAACTGGCAAGGAGTATCCCAGGCACTAGCAATCAACACCCGGGGCCTTAGAACTGGCACCCCAAGCCCTAGCTACAGGCATCTCAGACCCTTAAATCCAGAAGCTCAGCCGGGCGCGGTGGCTCACGCCTGTAATCCCAGCACTTTGGGAGGCCGAGGCAGGCGGATCACAAGGTCAAGTGTTTGAGACCAGCCTGGCCACCATGGTGAAACGCCCGTCTCTACTAAAAATACAAAAATTAGCCTGGCATGGCGGTATGCTCCTGTAATCCCAGCTACTCAGGAGGCTGAGGCAGGAGAATTGCTTGAACCTGGGAGGCAGAGGTTGCAGTGAGCCAAGAGAAGATTGACCCATTGCACTCCAGCCTGGGCTACGGAGCAAGACTCATCTTAAAAAAACAGAAATTCAGGCCTTTCCCAGTACCCCATCTCATATCATAGTGGACTAGACCCCTTCACCATGACAAATCCCCTTCCTAGACCCCTGGAGTCTGGAACTTCATCTTGAGAATCCCCTGTGCCTAAAAGCTATTTTCAAGGACCCCTCCTTTTTCACAGAAACCCTACATCTGCTCCCACAAAGAGTGGGGTTTTCCCACATCCCTGCCCAAGTCCCCAATAATACAGCATACAGCACCCATCACTTGGAACCCTAGACACCCACACACATTTCCTGGGCCCCCGATTGAGTCCTACACCCCACCTACCCACCCCTTCCTTATCAAGTCCCCAGGACATCCAGCCTGATAAAATGGAAACTGGTTGGCCAGGCCTGGTGGCTCACACCTATAATCCCAGCACTTTGGGAGGCCAAGGTGGGCAGATCACCTGAGGTTGGGAGTTTGAGACCAGACTGACAAACATGGAGGAAACCCCATCTCTACTAAAAATACAAAACACATTAGCTGGGTGTGGTGGTGCACACCTGTGATCCCAGCTACCTGGGAGGCTGAGGCAGGAGAATCGCTTGAACCTGGGAGGTGGAGGTTGTGGTGAGCTGAGATCCCAGCCTTCCCACACTGCTAATTCCACCTCCTCACCCCCACAGGGTACCGACGTCATCACCCTCCTTAACACCGTCCACCACAACCCCAGCCAGATCTTGACGCCCCAGGAGTTTAACCTCGAGCGTTTTCTCGGTGCCAATCAGTCCTTCAAGAAGAGCCCAGCCTTCATGCCCTTCTCAGCTGGTGAGGGCAGGAATCAGAGTCTTTCTGGCCTATTTTCTACCTACATTCCTCATCCTAATTCCACTTGCCAAATCCTCTCACTTCTTCCTTCCACCCATTTACAGCTTGGGATGTACAGAGACATTCATTTCTCCTTTCAATTCTGCTCCCATAGGCAAGTAGTGCCTAAATCCTCGTGAATCGAGGTGGAGAGGGTGATTAATAATTTAACTTGGGTCAGGTGCAGTGGCTCACGCCCATAATCCCAGCACTTTGGGAGCCCGAGGCAGCCGGATCACGAGGTCAGGAGATAGAGACCATCCTGGCCAACATAGTGAAACCTTGTCTCTACTAAAAATACAAAAATTAGCTGGGCGTGGTGGCGCATGGCTGTAATCCCAGCTACTCAGGAGGCTGAGGCAGGAGAATCGCTTGAACCACGGAGTCGAAGCTTCCAGTGAGCCGAGATTGCGTTACTGCACTCCAGCCTGGCAACAGAGCAAGACTCGGTCTCAAAATAATAATAATTTAACTTGGGGCTGGGCACAGTGGCTCACGCCTGCAATCCCAGCACTGTAGGAGGCTGAGATGGGTGGATCACCTGAAGTCAGGAATTCGAGGCCAACCTGACCAATATGGTGAAACCCCATCTCTACTTAAAATACAAAAATTAGCCAGGTGTGGTGGCATGCACCCATAGTCCTGGCTACTCTGGAGGCTGAAACAGGAAAGTTGCTTGAACTCAGGAGGCAGAGGTTGCAGTGAGCCGAGACTGCACCACTGCACTCCAGCCTGGGTAACAGAGCGAGACTCCATCTCAAAAATAACAAGAATTTAACATCTGGGCACGGTTTGCTCATGCCTGTAATCCCAGCACTTTGGGAGGCCTAGGCGGCCAGGTCACCTGAGGTCAGGAGTTTGAGATCAGCCTGACCAACATGGTGAAACCGTGTCTATACTAAAATTAGAAAATTAGCCAGGAGTAGTGGCACATGCCTGTAATCCCAGCTACTCAAAAAGCTGAGGCAGGAGAATCACTTGAACCCAGGAGGTGGAGGTTGTGATGAGCCAAGATCACTCCACTGTACTCCTGCCTGGGCAACGAGAGCAAAACTCCACCTCAAAATAATAATAATAATTATTATTATTATTATTTAACTTGGGCCAGGCTCATTGGCTCACACCTGTAATCCCAGCACTTTGGGAGGCTGAGGCAGGAGGATCACTTGAGGCTAGCAGCTCAAGACCAGCCTGGACAACATAGCAAGACCCTTTCTCTACTAAAAATTTAAAAATTACCTGGGTGTGATGGCATGCATCTATAGTCCGAGCTACTTGGGAGGTTGAGGTGGGATGATCACTTGAACCCAGGAGTTTGAGGCTCACCCATACAGTGAGCTATGATCATGCCACTGCACTCCGGCCTAGGCAACAAAGCAAACTCCCGTCTCTAAAATAAAAAATACTGACTAGCCAAAAATTAAAAAATATATATAAAATTTTTTAAAGAAAAAAATAATTGAACTTGGGAGTGGTCATTGTGTACCTCTCCACTGGGTGGCGCAGTTGAGGTAGTTCTAGGGGGATTTTTTGGCTTTCCTTTTTAACCTGCTGAGAAATGCTTCCTTGTTTACTCAGTAGCAGGCAGGGGGGAAAAAAAAAAAACAACAAAAAAAACTGGCATAATAATAGCTAACTTACCATATTGCCTACTGTGCTATCCCGCCTTTTATTTTTCTTTTTCTTTGTGAGACAGGGTCTTGCTCTCACTCTGTCTGGAGGATAGTGGCTCACTGCAGCCTTGATCTCCTGAGCTCAGATGATCCTCTCGCCTCAGCCTCCCAAGCAGCTCGGACTGCATGCGTGTGCCACCTTGCACATTCTTTTTTTAAAAATTTTGTAGAGGGCCGGGCGCGGTGGCTCAAGCCTGTAATCCCAGCACTGTGGGAGGCCGAGGCGGGTGGATCACGAGGTCAAGAGATCGAGACCATCCTGGTCAACATGGTGAAA